TGTATAATATGCCCCCTGTGGTCCTCGACGCTTCTCTACCATATCCATCCTCTTAAGCACTCTCAAGTCAAGGGCCTCCATCCGACACATCTCTTGCATGCTTGACACTCGGGGGAAGACATCCCATACCTCTAATCAACCGGGTGATATAATGCCCCGCATACAACACCTTGGGTTTCTTATTCTTTGCTTTCCCCTCAATGAAATTGGCTAGAAAGAACCCGATATGGATGGGGTAGCGCTCGACATACTATACGGGTATAGTAGATCATGCGAACCTACTACTCTTGGACTATCCTTCCTAGCATTAAGTGATCGGGCTAACGACCTATGGAGGTATCTCAATGTAGGAGATTTCAAAGCATTGCTCTTTGATTTGCTAGGGTCGTACTTGTGACCCATAGCTAATACGTCTCCGATGTCTGCATAATCGATGTTCATTGGTAAAGCCATTTTCAACTCGTAGTATTCTTGGCTTGCTACAAACTCCCGAGAGTAAATACCCATATGGATGGAGAAGGTAGTGTAACTCATCCGTATCGACTTCCCATTCAATTTGATCTAGAGTACATCATCACTATCCATGCCCCAAAGCTTACCCTATATTGTGACGGTGGAAAGCGGCTACTAATATCGGATTTTAGTAAGCAATGGGCTGAATTCCAAAGAATCTATCCCAACCACCGGTAGAGATCAAGCCCCCGATTTCCCGCTCTAACCCTAGCAATTGTAGAGTCCCCCAATCTATACATCCGCAACTCGAAAGGGTTTTCCCCGTAACAACTCATATCGATCTTTCTCGGCTTCGGATAATTTTGATATCCGCCACCCGAGTCGTGGTTGGGGGTTGCTACCGAGGTTTAATGCGTCTCGGGGCTAGCTAAATGAGCCCTCATCTCATTGCCTCTTCCTTGGAGGAATCTTCTTCCTTAGCCGAGGTCGCTTCGTAGTTCTATTCATTCTCTTGTGTCTATCAAGCTTCAACAAGAAGGTTGTTCGAATCTATTTAACAAGACATGAAAATCGAATGACATCAAATAATTGCATAAAATAATGCACAACGGGAAGATTGTTAAGCATTAATTCCTAATATGGGCAATCTTCCTATTGACATTCGAATTGGATCAACGGATAATTTTTGATAACAATGGTAGCTAGACAAACAAGTAATCCAATCCAAATATAACAAATGGAAGCTTTAAAAATCACATCCTTGGCACCTAGGCTAAGCATATTCATCAATTACATCCCTCACACATAATTCATCGAACAAGTAGTGTGCGGTCGTGTTAAGCAATAATTCTACATTTATGTGCATTAGTTACCACAACCCATGCAATGATATTTGCACACCGAATACTACCTAAAACTACTAGCCAACACATGCTTCAACAACACAATAATGAATCAAGTACCGGGTTGTTCAAAAACCGAGCATCCATAATAAAATAGACCCCAACACAAGAAATTAAAAGTGGAATAACACATCTATGGCCTTGATATCTTTCACATTCAGTAACATAACCAAACATGTGTAAAATCATCAAAACCCATTGTGATTCAACACTAAAAATAAAGATTTTAGAGACCAAACCCGATTTGGGTCTCGGAGATTAGAATGGAGATTGAGTAACGATGATTAGATATGTGCTTGTGAGAACTAGAGGTATGTTTGTGGTGGTGGCAACGTGGTGGAGACGGGTCATGGTTGGGGAAGTGAGGGAGAAGGGTTTTGATGCGGAACAAAAACCGTGTGGTTTTGAAAGAGAAGAAGGGTTTTGAAAATATAAATCATATGACTTAAAAGGCAATTACACGAGATAAGACACGACCATGCTTAGGTCGTGTCTTTTCAAAGTAACCCAAATTGTGACAAACAATTACACGGACTAACTACACGACCGTGTATTTGGTCGTGTCTTTCCGATGAACACCAAAATCAAACGTGACAACTACACTAGCTTAAACACGATCGTGTAGTTAGTCCGTGTAATTTTTTTTCTATTTTTTTCTATTCTTTTATTTTTTTTAAATCAAAGAAATGAAGTAACACAAAATTGAAAAATAAAGTTGGGTTGCCTCCCAAGAAGCGCTTGTTTAACGTCATTAGCTTGATGTTCTTGAAGTTCATGGTTCTATGTGTTGGAGTTTGAACTCCTCTCTCCCAAGGTTGTCAATATCCCCTTCGAGATATAACTTCAACCGATGACCATTTACCTTAAATGTACCTTTATCCGGATGTGCCATAGGGAAAGACTTGTCTTACCGTGAACGGTGTCGACCGAGTGAGATTTAAGCTTACTAGGGAACAATTGAAGACATGAATTATACAAGAGTACTTGATCTCCCTCCTTGAATAGTTTGGCTTGCTTAATGATGCGATCATGATACTGCTTGGCCCTTTCTTTGTACAACTTCGCATTCTTATAGGTCGCCAAACGCCATTCTTCAAGCTCATTGATTTCAAGTTTCTTATTTTCTCCTACAAGATCAAGGTTAAAATTGATAGACTTGATTGCCCAATATGCTTTATGTTCAAGTTTGACTGGTAAGTGGCATGCTTTACCATACACTAACCTATAAGGTGTGGTGCCTATGGGTGTTTTGTATGCTATTCTATAAGCCCATAGAGCATCATCTAGCTTTTCCGACCAATCCTTTTTGTGGTGCTCTATGGTCTTTTCTAGAATCCTTTTCAATTCCCTATTAGCTACTTCGACTTGGCCACTAGTTTGTGGATGGTAAGAGGTAGCTACTCTATGTGTAACACCATACTTCATAAGCACCCTAGAAAATTGAGTGTTACAAAAGTGTGTGCCCTATCTCTTATAATTGCTTTGGGTGAAACAAATCATGAAAACAACTTTTTCAAAAACTTTACCACCACCCTAGCATCATTAGTGCGTAAAGTTTGAGCTTTAACCCATTTAGACACATAATCAATTGCCACAAGAATGTATTTATGACCATTTGAAACAAGAAAAAGACCCATGAAGTCAATGCCCCAAATATGAAAAATTTCACAAACCAATATATAGTTTTGGGCCATTTCATCACGTCAAGAGATGTTACTTGATCGTTGACAATTATCACATGATTTCACATACCATTGGGCATCCTAAAATAATGTAGGCCAATAAAAACTCGACTCGAGCACTTTTCGAGGTATCCTATTTACATGATAGTGTCCATCGGTGGATCTTGATTGGCAATGATCTAGGATTTTCCATCTCTAAGTAGGACACACATCTCCTAATAATTTGGTCCGCACAAATCTTAAACAAATATGGATCCTCCCAAAGGTAGTTCAATTTAGAAAAGTATTTCTTTTTTTGCTGATGAGTGAGTCCCTTAGAAGGATCTTAGCGACCAAATAATTAGCGATATCAGCAAACCATGAGGTTTCAAGCTCACTTACTCGTTTAATACCGTAGAGGCGCTCTTTTGGGAATGTATCATAGATCTCCTCTTCATCAAGTTTCTCTAAATGAGGGTTCTCTAATCGAGACGAGTGGTCCGCGGCCAAGTTCTCGGCTCCCTTTTTATCTTTGATTTCTAAATCAAATTCTTATAACAACAAGATCCACCTAATGAACACTGGGTTTAGCATCTCGCTTTGTTCAACGGGTATCTCAATGCGGAATGGTTAGTGTAAACAACAATCTTGGATAGGACTAAGTAAGATCTAAATTTATCAACCGCAAAAACTACGACTAGCAATTCTTTTTCTATAGTAGTATAATTCTCCCGTGCATCGGTCAAAGTCTTGCTAGCATAGTAAATGGGTTGAAAATGTTTATCTCTACGTTGTCTAAGAACTGCACCAACTCGTAAAATCACTAGCATCACACATTATTTCAAAGGGAAGATTCCAATCCGGGGTAACCATTATTAGGGCGATAATCAATTTTTCTTTCGCAGTGTTAAAAGCATTCAAACACTCCTCTTCGAAAACAAAAACCATATCTTTCTCAAGCAACTTGGTTAAAGGCCTACAAATTTTAGAAAAGTCTTTTATGAATCTTCTATAAAAGCTCGCATGACCCTAAAAACTTCTCATAGCCTTAACCGAAGTTGGGGGAGGTAGTTTTTCAATAGTTTCAATTTTTGCTCTATCTACCTCAATCCCCCTATAAGAGATTTTATGGCCTAAGACTATACCCTCTTGTCCTATAAAATGACATTTTTCCCAATTTAAAACCGGATTAGTTTCTTCACACCGTTCAAGCACTCTTTTCAAATTATGAAGACATAAATCAAGAGAATCGCCGAAAATAGAAAAATCATCCATAAATACCTCTATTATGTTCTCCACCGGATCATCAAAAATGGCCATCACGCACCTCCGAAACGTAGTAGGTGCATTGCACAACCCGAATGGCATCCTTCTATAGGCGAACATGCCATAGGGACATGTGAATGTAGTCTTTTCTTGGTTTTTCGAGGTTATAGGAATCCGAAAGTAGCCCGAAAGACCATCTAAGAAATAGTAATACATGTATCCCACTAGTCGCTAAAGCATCCGATCAATAAATGGGAGAGGAAAATGGTCCTTCCGAGTGGCATCATCCGAGCTTTCTATAGTTGATGCACACTCTCCATCCGGTGATCGTTCTTGTTGGAATCGACTCGTTTTTTCCATTTGGGACCACTCGTCATCCCTCCTTTCTTTGGAACAACCTGCACGGGGCTCACCCAAGAACTATCGGAAATAGGGTAAATCACTCCCGCATCGAGAAGTTTAATTACCTCGGTTTTCATAACTTCCTTCATATTTGGATTAAGCCTCCTTTGAGGTTGCACTACCGGCTTAAAATAATCCTCCATCAAGATTTTATGAGTGCAAAAAGAGGGGCTAATTCCTCTAAGGGCTAAAATTTTCCAAGTGATAGCCCTCTTATGCTCTCTAAGAACATCTAACGACCTTTTCTTTTGATCCACCTTTAGCTTGGAAGAAATTATTATCGATAACTTTGAATCTTTTTCAAGAAACACATACTCTAAGTGTTCGGTAAAGTTTTCAATTCCAAACTAGGCGGATCCTCAATAGAGGGTTTTAATCTCTTTTCCTTACCTCTATCAATCTCCTCAAACTTCTTCTTCCGAATCATGAACTCGGTAGCTTCCGGACGAGCTACTTGCTCAACTCTAATGGGGTCATCCCCATCATTATCCTCACCTTGAATGAAATATAGCTCCAACGAATCATCATATATAATTTTCTACACGGATTCTAAAGCTGCAATATCAATAGCATCAATGAAATAACATTTGTCATCATGTTCAAGGGAATGTCTCATAGATTTTGATATAAGAAAAGTTACCTCTTCATCCCCGACCCTAAGAACAAGCTTACCATCACTAACATCAATAATGGCTCTAGCGAGTAGCTAAAAATGGTCATCCTAGGATTAACGGTACTTCTACATCCTCATCCATATCAAGTATCACAAAGTCAGCTAGGAAAATAAATTTATCTACCTTAACCAACACATCTTCAATTTTACCTCTAGGGTATTTAATAGATCTATCTCGCTAACTATAAGCTCATCCTTATCGGTTTAGGTTCTCACAACCCTAGTTTCTTGAACATTTTATAAGGCATTAAATTTATACTGGCCCCAAGGTCGGCTAATGCCTTTTCAACTAACAAACTACCAAATGAGCAAGGAATAGAAAAACTCCCTAGGTCTTGTAATTTTTGAGGTAGTTTGTTTTGCGAGATAGCAGAGCACTCCTCACTCAATGCCACTGTTGACAACTCTTCCTACTTCCTCTTGTTTGAAAGAACTTTAAAAAATCTAGAATACTTTGGCATCTCGCGAAAGAGCTTCAACAAAAGGTATATTTATATGCAATTGTTTAAAAAGTTTAAGGAATTTACCAAACTGTTCATCCATGTGGTCCTTTTTGTAGCTTCCGGGATATAGAATGGTAGGTTTGAAGTCTTTCACTCGGTTGAGGTTGCTCGCTAACTTTTTTCGACTCTTTACTCTTTTCGACTATTTTCTCTTCTTCACCTTTCTTCTCCTCCATTCGTAATTCCTTTCCACTTCTAATAGAGACTCGCCTTCACATGTTCTCTAGGATTAGTCTCGGTATTACCGTGCAAACTACCTTGTTGCCTCTCGGAAAAGGACTTGGCAAGTTGCCCAATTTGCTTCTCAAGGTTGTGGATAGAAGCCTCTTGGTTTCTCAATGCTCGTTTCGGTTTCTGAAACAAGGATTTAGATGTTTGAATGAACTTAGTAATAAGTTCTTCTAAACTAGCCTTCTTCTCCTAAGATGATTTCTGCTGCTGAAATCCAGGTGGATGATTCCGTCTTCGCCATCCTTGACCTCCCCAAGAGAAATTAGGGTGATTTCTCCAACCCCGATTATAAACATTACTGTATGGGTTGTTTTGAGTACGAGGAGCATTACCTATGTAATTAACTACCCCCTTGCAATCCCGGCTTGAATTTCCTTCTCCACATAACTCACACTACATAACTCCGAATTGGTTGTTGTACTACCGATAGACCATCCATCTTCTTACTCGTAGCCTCCACCCGAGCTACTTGAGCTGTGATCGCATCTACATCATAAACACCTGCTGGTTTATTTGGTTTTGTTCTAGTTATACTCCACTGGTAGTTATTCATAGCCATTTGCTCTATCAATTCCCGAGTTACGTCGGGTGTTTTGCTATTCGAGTGCCTCCAACTCGTTGCATCTATCATCCGCCTAGTAGCTAGATTCGGACCACTATAGAAAGTTTGAACTTGCATCCATGTAGGTATGCCATGGTGTGGGCATCTCCTCAACAAATCCTTAAACCGCTCCCACGTGTCATAAAGTGTCTCCGACTCAATCCGCACAAATGAGGAGATATCATTCCCGAGCTTTGTAGTCTTTGCAGGTGAGAAGTATTTTGCTCGGAACTTCTCTCGCCATTTGGCTCTAGGTAGTAATAGATCCCCTAGGTAGAGAGTTCAACCACTACTTAGCTCTACTCCTCAATGAGAATTAGAACGAGTCTCAATCCGATGGCGCCATCCGTAGCCCCATTGATCTTGAATGTGTCACGATTTCTAAGAAGTTGGCTAAATGAGCATTCGATTCTTCATCTTACAACCCATCAAACTACATAAATTGTTGCACCATTTGGATGATGCTCGGTTTGATCTCAATGTTGTTGGCCGCAATAGTTGGTCCGACAATGCTAGCCTCTCGTTCCTATCAAATTTGGTCTAGCATAATGAAACATGGTTCTTGCTTCCTTAACCATGACTATCCGTGGTTCTCCTTCCCTCTAATGTTCTTCTTCTCTTTCCCCGTCCAACTCTTCTTCTCTTTATCTAAATCGATTCCCGAGGTTTTGAAGAGTTATTCTCTCTATTTTAGGATCCGGCTCAACTAATTTAGTTGGATTGTTGCGAGTCATACACTAACTCGGCTCCCGAAAAAGCGACACGAACAAAGAAAAGTATAATTCAAAGAAAATATGATAAAGAAAAATGGAACTAAATATTATATATATAAAAATAAATAAATAAAATAAAATGGCTAGATTAATAAAAAAGTTTTTTTCCTAATATCCTAGTCCCCGTAACGACGCCAAAAACTTGATAGCCCCTTTCTTAACCTATAGACTTTAGGCAAGTGCACCTACCATTCTATAGTATAATTGACGGAGTATCGAGTGTCGATCCCACAGAGACTAAGAGTACTAGTAATTACCTCCTATTTATTATCTAACCGATGAATTATAGTGATAATGAATCAAATAAAAGCAACGATAATTAAAGGAAGATTACAAAATTGCAATGAGAATGATGATAATAACCGGATGAGCAATCAATGGTGAAGGTAGTACTAAGATAGCGAATCCCCCGTAGATCTTTTATGTAATCACAATGTCTTTTATTCAATCATTCTTTATATTCATTGGATCGTAGGAATTCTCGTATTATGCTAAGTACTTTCTCAAGTTAACTAACACCTAATCCCAAGTTGATTAATTGAAATCTTTTTCTAATTAACACCCTTAAGATCGTATTAATCCGTTCTATGAATCCCTTTATTAGATTTGACTCTAATCCGGAGGATTTATGTTGTCCTATCTCTAGGATTGCATGCAACTCCTTTCGATCATGGTTGATCTAATCATATTTAGGGCTTTTCGGTCTCACAAGTATGAAATCGGATATGAATCAACATGCTAGCTTATGTTAACTCAAATTAATAATAAAAGTGACATAACTGAATCACAATAAGAATAAAGATTGAATTAAATGAAGATACCAAATTACATTATCAATCTTAGGGTTCATCGTATCTAGGTACCAAAATAATTTAGTTCATGATCAAAGCAAGGAATACATAAATCTTAAATAGAAACAATCCAGATTAAAGGAAAACATTGTAACCCTTTTGATCTTGATGCAATCTCCTTCAAAATCTATGAGAATCCACACCAACGGCGTTATCTTGCTCAAGAACCCTAGTTCTTTTCGTGCTTCTCAATCGTCCTCATGTATCTCACCCCTCCCCTTTTTTAGGTAAAGTTTTTGATTAAATAGGACTAAAATATCATGTTTCGTAAGACACGGCCCGAGTACACGGCCATGTCTTTTTTCGTCTAGTATAGATGTAATTTTTCCTCGAAGTAGACGATTACACGACCATGTACTTGCCTCGTGTAACTCTCTATTTTACGTATCGGCTCTCTTCTAGTTACACGACCGTGTCCCGAGCCATGTAACTCATTTGACATTCGAAACTCATAAATTTTTGCTCCTTCTTACTTTGTTTACATTCCTTTTTACCAAAATAATGTAGTACGACTCGCGGAACATAATTTAGACAAGATAAGCGCCAAACTTGTACCATTTATCACCAAAGGTAATTGAAATATAGAAACTTTTGACACTAAAATTATGCATAATTTGGTACTTATCAAACTTCCCCACACTAAAGCTTTTGCTTGTCCTCAAGCAAAACAAAAGGAGGTATGTTCATTCCGCCTAGACTTGTAACAATTAAGAATTGGCCTCGGGAATGGCGAGTTGGCATGCACGAAATAACAATTGAATGTACATCAAATTTCAAATCATTTTAAAAAATTTGAAACATAATCATAAGTCAAGCCAAGACTATGCGGGTGTGCATCAATATGTACATGTTGATATTATGGAGTCAACTACGTTACTATCTTGAATCCATATAACAAATTTGGAACGAGAACTATAGAATAGTTATGTTTTTCATAAATGCAAGAGTCACCATAATTTTATCACTTTACGCATTTATCTATTCATTAGTGACATAGAGTGCGTTTTACGCTCCATCCCAACTTTTCACCCACTTGATTGCTACAAACTCGGTTAGTGAATTAATGGCTTTCCTTAGTGTGTAAATATACACTTGTTTGGTTTTTCACCTTCAACATAAATCCTCTTTATAGACACGAAGGCCCCTCACTTTTGGTGATTGCCCCCGATTACTCAAAAATCCCTTTTCGGGGGTGCTTTGCATACTCATATCTTTATGTAAGACATTGGAGTAGTTTTATTTGAAGGCCACATTCACTTATCCTGGTTTAGGTTCAACAAGTAAGGAGTCACATTTATTCATTTAGGCATTGGCATTTAAATTTCTTACATGTAATCAAACATAACCACCCTATAGGTAAAGTTCCAATCTCATCATCTAGATTATGGAGTAAGCATAAGTTTTCATTCATAATTTCGACAATACACCCCGATAAGTGCTCAAAAATAGTTTATGGCTCAACACACGATTACCGGAAAACTTATATATATATATATATATAAGCACACCCATTATCAATTCATGCATGCAAACAACTATGCATTCTCATCATAGGCCGGATATTGTTACTCCTAGGCAAAATAAGGAACACACATCATTTGCTTTGATAACCTTTTTTTTCCTCCACAAAAAAAGAGGTACAATGTCCTCAATGTGCAAAATTAGCCACGGAATAGAGTATTGACAAAAAGGAAGAAAGCGTTAAGAGGATTAGGTGCCGCAACTTCCTTGAAGAAGAGAGGACATTTTCTAAGCATGGGTCCGAATTCCATCCAAGTATCGCCCATAGGCTTGCAAAAGAAAAAGAAAAAAACAGTAAAAATTAAAAATGAAATCACTAAGCCAATAAATACTATCAAGCTCGTGATCATGGCTCGGCGAGGCTTTGCATTATTCAAAGATTGTG